ATTCCATGACAATTTATCTCATTAAAATTTAATGTAATTTAACTTAGTCTTGTTCAGTTTATCCTCAAGGAATTATTTTTAATGTTAGTTTAAGTTTTCGACTGCTTAATGTTATTAATTTAAGGTCAAAAACTTCTTCTACTCTTTAATTTTTTAGTATTTTTTTTTACCAAGATCTTAGAATGAATCTTAAAAGTTTCTTTAATATCGCATTTTTTATCATCAAATTTATATCAAAACTTGGGTGCTTATCATTTAGTCTGTTAATGCACAGCTCATTCGTTATGCAGCATTTGCTATCGATCATTCATGTCACGTACCAGCCGGTAGCGTTTTTTGAATAGCGGTAGATTAGAAAGAACGTTATGTAGTARCATGTCATAGTAACAATCCGTAAAGGTAAATTATACACAGAACAATTTGAAATGCAATTGCTTTTTTAAAAATCATTAAAAGGAAAAAATGGAGACCAGATTTCCTATTCTGGAATGTTGGCTCGATTCGTTCATAGAAAAAAATACACAACATATGAAAAAAAAGAAAGAATTATGGAATGAAATAATGGATGCATAAAAGCTTTAAGGGGGGAAAACGAAGACAAAATATTTCATTTACTATTATTTCATGACTATTATGTTGACTCAAAACTACACAAATGATAAAAGAAATTTTAAAAAAATGATTTTGAAATGAAAAAAACAGCAACAAAAAAACAAAAAAACAAACAACAACAATGTTTTCAGTTCACTTAGACTTCATTGTAGAAAAATAACATAAAAATGGAACAAAAGAAAAGGGTTCTGAAATGAGATAGCAAAGAATGATGTATTAAACGCAAGAAAGCTGAGAGCATGAAAAAAATGTCTTACGAAGGTGCGCGCTATAACTTAATATATCGTTTAACTTTATCTCTAGAGAGTTCGATGTTAATCTTAACAATGATATCGTAAATGCGGACTGAAAAATTTAAGGAGCAAAGGAAAAAGCTTCATACAATTTTATTTTTATTATTTATATTTTTTTGAGCAAATTTAGTAARCATTTTCAATATTTTCAATTTGACATTTTGTGAGCGCAAGCTAGACGAATATTGATATGTGAATACTGCAGTAAGCCTAAACCATATACATATATCGCAAACATATATATTATTGATATGTACAGATGGTGTGTGTTACTCAGTATAGATGGATGAGTTATAGGCAGCTGAAACCCACTAGATATAAACATTTATCCATCACTAAAGACCGCTGCACACATTTCCGCTCTTTCGCTCCTTAAAATTTCAATTTGTAAAAATCCTCTCTTTATTCGAAATTTTCGTTTTCTGAAATCAGTGAGGTTTTGGGCGCAGTTCTTTAGTTGTCATGAGTCACAGAGCGAAACTTCTTCTGTACACAGAATCTATYCACTGTCAGTGAAGAAGATAGCCCACATACAGAGTCCGTTGTTAATCAACTACCACTGTCAACAGACTCAATTTTTATATAAACAAAGAAAAGACTGGAGAAAGCACTGCTAAGATCGCCATAACCAATAAGACAGAAAATTACTCCTACGATTAAATGAAATTTCAAAGATATACCAGACGACTTAGTGCACATTTTAACCACAAAAATTAAAAACATCTTCCTTTTTGATAGATGTATTTAAAAGATAGTCATTTTTTGGCTTAAAACTTGGATTAAGTAATTTTCTAGAGCAAGACTAATAGACTAATAATTTAATGGTTTTAGTCTAGGAAGAAAGTTCAGAGCCGGAGGGTTTTTTAAAATACAAATGATTAATTCGTCAAGGCTTCAATTCTTTTGCTGTCATAGGCGAAGTCCAATATTGGAAACTAATTTAGATTTCTTGAGGAAAATAAGTCGCAAAAAAAACCCTTTTCTTTCCTTGCGATCATAAGTTTCGACGCGATATTAGCTGATATTCATCTCTAATAGCTGTGAGAATTCTCCACGACAAAGATATGTTTAGTTTGTTCCCAACCACGCCATCCATCATGTATACATCCACTAGTATAGGCTCAACTACCACCACTTGACTCTCATCCTTGCAGTAATGGAAGACTTTCAACCTCGCTATAACCACTCTCTTTGTCAGCCTTAACTCAAGCAAGTACGCATTATAACTGACATAAAATTTCACAAATGTGCACTGTTTATGCTGCTAGCCCTACCAATTGATTTTCTCACATCGATAATCCTTGGATTTTATATACAAATGTTTTTCAATATCGAGTTCATAGAAGTACTCTCACTTTTTTTCTTCTCTGAGAGGTTCAAGTCTTTGATGAATTTTTTCCAGATTTTCTTCAACGTCTTTTTCCATGACTGTAGACCTTTCGAGGATCTCGGACGCCCGCACGAGTTTCCTCAAAGCTTGGTCATAGTCCACTGGAGGAAGCTGTTTTGTTCGGCGCGTAGAACTCGAGGGAGGAGCTGACTTAACTCTTCTTGTAGGTGAAGACTTGGGTTTACTTGTCGTGTCTTTCTCGCCACTTTTTTGGGGACTTTTTGCTCCTTTTTGCTTGTCTGCGGCCTGTTTTCGCGCTTGTTTAGTCTGTCGACGTCGACCAGCAAATCTCACTGGCATCCTGGATTGTGGGAGTTATGTATAGCGGCTAAGCAACGTGTGTCGTCTTTCAGAGATACTATACAATTGTAAAGTACTTCGTTTCTTTCTAAGGTTATAGAGACAGTATCTGTTCACTCCCTCGTGAAAATCTAACCAATCACAGCGGCTCAATTTTCCAGTACATTTGAATGACAACGAGGAATCAGTAGTCAACGTTACTCTGACTGAAAAATATTTTTCCGTCGCCTTAACCCCTGTGAGGATTAATGCACTTGGCAATCAATCTAGCAGGCAATTTTTGAATTTACTCAAACGAGGATCTTATGTAAGTGATCCATGGGGCTCGTTATGAAGGAATTGGATCATAACATAATCAATGGCCAAAGTAGACTGTGTTCCTGTTGTTAGGACAATAATAAAGAACGCTGTCGGCACTTTCCTGATCCCATAAACCTGGTTTATCGTTAATTTCTAACGCAGAAACAATTAATTTCTGAGGGTTCTAATTCTATATACCTACAAAATAATTCCTCAAAAGAATATCTAATGAAAAGAAAAGAAAGCGCTTTGAATTGAAATTGATACTGTCAAATGATTTTGAGTGTATTTGCAATCGATGTTTTTCAGTGTAAATCTTTGTTTGGATCGACCTCTTACCGGCACTAAATGACTGCCAAATGGACTTCAATTTTCAAAACCAATTCGAACAAGAGCGATTTTAGAAGATTTGGCTGACTTCAAGTGCTCGAGTAATCTCAAAATGCATAATTTCATTCCAATCGAGTGATAAAGATTTTCCTCGATGCTAGGTAGTTTTGTAGATCGTTATTCAGATCTTTGATTATTTTCAAGCATTCTCGTTGTTGATAATTTCAGCCAGTTTGATTTCCGTATTCAAACAAGTCATTGGTTCTACCTTAAGACGTCAYACTCATTTTAATTAGTTAAATCATTATTATTTTATGAGTTAAAACATCAGCATATAGGGTTTGTACCACCACGTGACGGCAGCCATGTTGGATGGCAGGAACAATGCAATCGTTTGACAGAAGAAAGAATTCAATTCCAGAGAGCTAAGGGATTTTGTTGTTTTGTAGCCTGCGTAGCGGCCCAAAGGGAAGGGAAGGGACTGGGAAGAGGAAGAAAGGGAAGGGAAGGGACTGGGAAGAGGAAGAAAGGGAAGGGAAGGAACTGGGGAGAGGAAGAAATAGAAGGGAAGGGACTGGGGAGAGGAAGAGAGAGTTGTTTTGCCATCTAACCACAGGCAGCCCAAGCTGTGTTATGGGGGTGGGCACGTGATGGTGCAAAACCTCTTTTGGAAGTATAATCCTCGATGTCTCCAAGATGCATCACTTAAATCATAAAATATTTTACCATTCACTGACTATTGAATATTAAATTAGGGGATATTGGCATGTTAATCTGAATCATTGCCATGGTGATCAGTGTTACCAACGTCATAGGGTACCAGCTTTGCAAAGGGTTCAGTAGGGGCGACTTTGATCATTATATTGGGACATGTAGGATCATTCTTTTTCAGAAAATAAAAGAGGTATTTTCCTCAAATTTCTTAAAATAATAGACGCCCTTGCAGCACTTTGGAATGCAGCTCAATCTGGGGAACAAAACAATAGGTTCCAATTCTCAGGAGATTGGAATTCTTTTGTTTTGTCCCCCAGATCGAGCTGCTTTGACGTCACATGCAAGGGGTCTATAACCGCACTTTTGTTTTTTCCAGGGTCAGATGTTCCAAAAACATTTGATTCCTAAAATTCATTATTCATTCGTTATGTAAACGTCGAAGAGAATTAGAATGTTTTTAAAATATAGTTTTTTATCGTTGCATTTCCTAGTTAAATGTTTTGATAAGTCGCTAGTTATACGCATTCCTAAAATAGACATTAAAATACGATTTTGTGTAGACTTTTCACGTGTACCTCTGAAGGTTTGCAATGGCGGATCCAGGGGTGGGTTCCTTGGAACCCCCCTTTTGTGAGATCTTCACGGTGAAGCCAATCATGTTCTTTACGCTCAGTAGAATTAAATTGGAACCTACCTTTTGTGAAG